CAGGATGCAAGGCCCACCTCCCAAGCGCTAACGTTCGAAAAGAGTCTTCTCTATTCTTTGGTGAGCAGCCTGCCGTGAGGAGCAATGCACGTCAAATATGAGTCCTATTTATTGTGGAAATTAATGCTAGCCTGAGTTGAAATTGTTTTTAGGGACCCTACAGGTGGTATACAACCACTGTAACCACCGCTCTCCACCCTCAGACGAGTTTTTTTTCCAGATTTGTCTGTTCAGATCGCCTTCAATTCAAAGAACGAACTACTAGTCCCGGCCCAACAGTTAGGAATAGGCGTTAGAAGCCGAATTCTCGTTTTGCGATCACTTGAAAAATCGAAATCTCTGTTGATTGAGGTAGCGTGGGACGCACTGGATGACGCTGTAGGCAGGAGTGCTAAGGCCCAGTGTGCTCATTTTGACTCCGCCCGCGTTGTAGCTGCGACAGGAGCTCTGTGCTCATCTTGGAATTCCGTGCCACGGTATTTTTGCCGAAAACATGCAGTGGATGAATATACTCATTCCTAGGCGACGGAGCAGCCGCTGGTATATTCTCAACATGTGGGTATTTCACTTGAAAGGACAACTGTCATCTTGTTTCTGGTTGGAGAAAGATACTAACAACTGTCCTAAATGAAAATGCTCTCACAAAACTTTGGCCGTTCGTCCTCGCGTTCGTTCAAGCACGCCAGCTACACTACCCATTCTCTCGAGTGAGAGGCGGCAAAACATCTAAATCGGGCAAGGAACTGTGTCCAGCCAAGCCCTAAGTTTTTATAGAAAGCGGACTCCAGGCTGGTAAGCAGTTGCGAAAACTGGATTTTGCTGGGGCGTCACGATGACCATAGTTTTGCATGCGGAGCGATAGCTGAAGAGGTAAGTTTGCAGTTGAACTGCCATTCACGGGAATTAAAGTTGATTCGTAAACTGGCGCGAGCTGTCGTTTTGCTCACTGGCTCTGTCTAGTGTCTCGCTTGAAATCCGTATCGGTTCTCGACCTCTCGACCTTGGGCCTGCTAGGGGCGTTTTTGGCTGAGGACTCTGCTTCTTCTTCTCTATGAAAAAAATGGGACCTGAGACAAATGCGTGACAAATAAACTTAGCATTTGTATTCTCTTTTTTTACAATCTCACTGCCTACGAACTTCTATAGGTTTCATCGTGTAATTTAGCCTTAAATGTCAAGAATTTGCGGTTCATGAAAAGGTCCCAAAAGAAACGGCAATTTTTTTCAATCTTTTGCACGGCTCCATTTTGAAGCGCTCATCTCATTCAGCATTGATCAAGCATCAGCTTATCGTCCTAGAATGCGTTTTAACTTAAATGTAGAAGGTGCGGCCCTGTAGAAACAATATGATCGTGAGTAGCATGTGCAGTTTATTGTAGATTGCAGAACTAGAGCAGTTTCTAAACATCACGTATAGTAGATAACTTCTCCAGCTCTAATCTGACCATGCACTGCCAAGGAATTTGCATTGACTGTGTCCTTGACGGCAATTTTCTCGTTACTCTGGAAATGGCTAAGTAAATTGGGCGACTGTAGATTTGTCAAGATCGAAAATCGCTCCGCTTACTGTTGTCCGTTGGTTTATGATGCGAGGTAGCACACCAATGGAGCTGTTTGCTCATACAGTTTGATACATTGAATAGCGTCACCCATGTGTGAAAACCGTTATTCAATGCGTACCGCCCCTTTTACCAAGGGATATAAATGGCGCAATTGCCCATGTCCGGTCCACCGTACCAAGATCTACTTTAAGGCAGTTCACTTTCCTCCTTCCTTATCTACAACACGCCATGCCATTCAAACTTCGGTTCAGATTTGTTGAGTTAGTTGAGTACATAATGAATCCACGATTAGTAAAGTGAGCCATTGCTGTTCATCTTGCATTTTTCATGCTCTTGAACGGATTTAGGGCTCGAAGTCAGTTTTATGAGGGTCTTCACAACGATGGTCTTTCACCACTGTAGGTAGAAAGAGCGGTGAAAATGTGGCCAAGAAAGTTTTACACGCACCAGGTCATGCCATCTCAGCCGATTATGACGCAGTGAACCAAGACCAGAACCCAACATCCTGATATCCCTTGAATACTTCCAGATATGTCAGAAAACCGAAAACCAAAGCTAATTTCCTTCGGTTCGCGCCTGAAACACCAAGTCACGTTCATTCTGCATTCAGCACTTCTTGTTCACTTGAGACTTTCTCAGCACGTGTCTATTCCAACGCGGTAGCTGCTCTCGTGCTCCTCTAGCTTTTTCCAGGACTGTGTGCACGCCCATCTGGCGTCCTCCGATACTTGAGCCTGAGCTCATTTGAGTGAACTGGACTTTCATGGTTTTTGTATACGGACTAACAAGGATCCTGTGCTCTTCTCAGAAATGTGCTTTCCTGTGCTTGTTTTTTTCGTTTTCTCTACCTCTGATCACATTTTCATTCAAGCCGCTACTGGCTGCAGAATTCTCGTTACTGAGATCAAATGCATGGCACGAATCTTCAGAGCAATATTCAGAAAATAACCCCTTATTAGGAGTCTACGGAACCCATTTGCGCTTGCTGGTTGCGCCATGCATTTGATGTGCGTGGTGACGATACCAGTTTCATACGAGTGGCTCTATCTTGAGAATCACACCATATAGGCTTGTGGCTTATTTTCCATTTAAGATTTTCCTGGTTTTCTCTTCAGCAGCCCTTCAGATATTTTTTGCTGGCCTTGTACCGCTTTCGTGTCCTTGGAATATTCTATGGTTCGAATTTTCTTGTTTCTTCTAAAGCTCATGAGTTACGCTCTGAATATTTCAGGTTAAGAGACAAGGGCCCACATCTGCAGTGCAACAGCCAAAATGTCTCGCATAATATCAGTGAGTTCTGAGCCAGTTTCTTTGTATGCATCTTTATAATCTACTTTTGAAAAATAAGGTTAAGTACAGTTTTCTCGAGATGTATCCGCTCTCAATGGGAGAATTTTAGATATAGACCGGATATATTCCCTCTGACCGTGGAGCTAGATTAAGCCCAGGGGAATAAGGCATGCAAACCATGAACTCACACGTCATGTCACTTCCTTGTTACCTACAGGAAAGTTTCCAAATCAGCATTTCAGATAATAATCTAAAGAAGTTACCACCTGTATCACCTGTGCTTCTAGTGTCGTCGAGTTCCTCGATCGGCCCCAGTAAGGTCCCTAATCGTCCCAGCAATGTGCTAATGTTGATCAACTGGCTTTCTATGTTCGAAAGACACGATGAACATCATCCCATTCGTTCAGAGCTTTCACGAAGATTTATGGTCATCGACTAGGCGGTCGGCTAGGTGTTCATCGGATTATAGGCATGGACAATTAAAGAAACCTCTCAGCCATCACAAGAATTTTGTTAGAGGCAAAAGCTCAATTTCAAGCAACGTCAAACCTTTGCCATGCACTTGCCGGGCTGGTGTGTTGGCCATTATACTACCAGGGGGGGGGAGACTTTGCGCTCTTTTTACTCAATTGCCGTATGACCGTAGTTTGGCATCTCTGACTTGCAGCATTTTTCATAAGGTTTTTATGATAACTTTAACTGCGCGAACCGCGAAGTTATCGTAAGAAACCTCCTACCTAAAGGAAAAGTGAATCACCTAAAGGAATGACTACTATTAGTCATTCCTTTAGGTGATTCACCTTCTATTCGATTTCCATTTTGGAGTTTTAGTGATCTCAGGAACAGTACATCAGTCATTGACCAATCTTTCCTGGTCGTATAGCGCTAGCATGAGCGTTACTAGTTTAGACCCAGGATGCTGATGCTGTGTAGAGCAGAGAATTCCATACAAGGCCAAAAAAATAGAAGAGGCGTCTTTTTTTGTTGAGCTCCTAGTGCACGATTTACAAGACGTGACGCTCTGCCAAGTAATAAGGAGAGATGGGAACTGTTTTTATTTCTCATAAAGTCTCCATTCTTCGTTAGGGTGGGCGGCGAAGGTGCTCGCTCCCTTTGACTTCCGATGCATTTTTCTCAAAATATCTTTGGATGATTCATTGTGTGCTCGCTCAATTGCAGCGTGCACAGAAAGGAAAGTTCATTCTGAGACCAAAGGGATAGCAATGAGTCACGGAGGCTACCGATCGCTTCAGAAATCGAATTCAAATGGAGAGTCTGCCTAAGAAAATTACGGCTTATACATTATACAGTCGTGAACCCTCCAAAGGCGTGACGGGCCATGAACTGGAGGGCGGCCAAAGCGGCTGTTCCCTCAATGATGCCATCCTGGGTCCGCAACGAGTGGCAAGAGTCCCTGTCTGGCTGGCTATGCCCTGTTTTTTGTGAACTCGAGAAAGGTTGTAAAAGAGCTAAGCATGACCACTTTTGTTCCGGGCTTAGTCAGCGCTGTTTACATTCCATTTACGAGGCCAAACTCAGCGCACGGTACACTAACTATGTACGAGGGACTTTTTTACGAATTCAATCGGATCACGCGGATCGAATCCGATGTTTGATTAGTACTCATCCACGCGTCAGGGATAGACTAGTTCACCACGTCATCGGGTAAAAACTTCTCATCGTTAGCGAGCCTTTCAAGGTCAACTGCGAATGGTGCACAACAGATAGGTTCAATGACCTCATAAGCCATTTTATTTGGCAGACTACTTCTGGAGGCAAACGTCTGGCTAGATCTGCCCCGTCTGCAGAGAAAAAGTTTGCAATGGACAAAATTATTTGTGGACAACTGCACTACCAGGAAGCCTATAGAAATGAATGCTACGATTAGCTGTGTTGTGGCCGGTGGACGAGCCCGTGGCCCCGTCGCGAGCTGGTCGCGCTTTCCACACGTATTCTCAAGCTGCTGAAGTAGTACATGCTCCATGCTTGGGTCAGGACTACCACGTCTAAAAGAAGGCGTCTACGCTTTAAATAAACGCGTGGCGTGCCTTTGAGCGAAGAAGGTTCGCTATCACACAGGAACTTTAGGTAATTGTCAAGGTTTTACAGCTACGACGTTCAAAAACGGAAAGGACGATTCGCTACAACATGTACTTCAGGACTGCAGACGAAGTAACTTAAATGCGGGGCTTACAGTGGTGGCTAGGAATCTATGGGACTGCGAAATCTCCTCTGTGCATAGCTCTGCTACCCCGCCCCTTCTCCCTTATTGCATAGAATGTGGGTCGGGTCTATGCAATGACCTATGGGGGTTGATGTGAGAAGCAGTCTATTCGTTCAGACCTCATCCAGGACTTTGCCATAGTAGAACTGCCGACGGTTGGACTTTCTTCGCACGCAGGTGAATCCTAATAGGGAAAAAAAGTCTCATTTGATGCGCTGGAGAAGGGCGGGGTCGTTTGGTCCCCCGCATTTGTCTGAAGGAAAATTTTTTTGGGAGTTGAATTTTCCTAACTCCGGCACGCTGTCCACACGCTGGGTGACTCCCACAGGGACCCTCTTGCAAAAGTATTCCCAGCTATAGGCTGCCCGCCATGCATGCCTGACCAAAAGCCACTGTTAGTTGGGAAAACTACGTTGGATACGATGCCAAACACTAATGAGTTGAATAATGGCTCACTACCACCTCCTTCCGTACTGTTTTTGATTCTTCCGTATTTTAGGTACTCCTACTGAGCGCCTTCACCATCAACACAGTTGTAGCACGTAAGTTAACTACGCTATTTATTACTCTCTTTGATGAAAAACGGCATTGTTTTATGAAAGCAAATAAAAATGATCTAAATATGGAAAGTAGCCGCATTTTGGTGCTTTTGGCATATTAAGCTGACTCACGTATAGTCTGCAGTTTTTATCCTAAGATTTTGAAGATTCAAAGTATTACGAGCTTGTTTCCAAACCACTTGTTCGATTTTTTCATGTCCAGAAGGTAGTAGGCTTTTGCCTAGGCCCGTGGGAAGGAGCTTCAGCAATGGGTGCAGACAACATTTCGCCCTGTCTCTCCTGTAATCTGCTTATCCACTTGGTACAAGCATTTCTGACGGCGATTGCAATTGAAGAAATAGCTTGGAGCGGTAGTAGATATACTGTTTACTCTGCCCCAAACACTGCCTATGGTGGAAAAAGCAAAAAAATTTAAGTCTAAAAAGACCGTCTGATTGGCCTTCTTGCCCCACCACTATCGAGAGCAGTCCTGTGGCGACCGCCCTCCCCTCCAATTTTTCCCATAATGCTGCGACGTCGCCATTTTTCTGAAACCCAGTTTGCATTCAGGAACTTTTCGCCCAACAGCTGTCACTGGAAGGCACCGCACTACCTCTGCGCGCATAGACTGTGTCATAATAGTCCGCAGCCATAGAATTTTAATGCCTTTTAACGCATTGTGGCTCACGTATCCTGATGGCATCTCTCGCAATCAAACGATGTGCGTCGCAATGATATCTTTCTGTCTAATATCTGTTTAGAATACAGCGAATCTGTGAACCCACCGCCAAATGAAAATCCTTGCAATCTCGTCGACTGCATACCAAATACTCGTTGTATAGTGGAGAATGGAGTACCGAAATGTCTCGAACTGGGCAAATTTATAGGTGATATTTGTGGGATGGAAAAAGGATGTTGCTGTTTCGAAAAACCTAATCTTTAACCCTGATCTTGTCCTTTTTACTAACATCTTAGCTCTAACACCTTCCTGCTACGCTTATTTATTTTGAGCTTCTGATTGTGAGTATTCTGATATTCGGTTAGGCGCAGTTCGGCTTGAAGGGAGGGGGGAGAGCTGTATTCCGCACCTTTGTTCTTTGCCCTTCGCGTGTTTAAAGTTATGCAAGAAGGTCCAATTTCGGTTTTGGAGGAGGGGAGGTGGAGGCGATTGACGGAGGGGGAGCAGAGTTTCATACTTCATGCCCACTGGAAGATCCAACGCACAGTCGAGGAGCAGAAGAGGCTTGCAGCTTTATCGATATAAATATTTGAAGGCCCAGTTCCACTCTTCGCCCATTAAAAGTTCTGTGAAATACTGTGATGCCATGGACCACTTACTTGTCAACTCTGTATAGAATACATTGTCAAGGCCTTGTGAATTTATGTGCATTGACGATGGAAGCAGTGAAAGTGCAGGATTTCGCACCCCCCCCCCCCCCAAGCCGAACTGCGCCTTTAATTGCTCTCCAGCATACCTTAGTCTCTTGCAGATCCTTCCCGGAATGACCTTCTGAAGCCAGATCCCGATTGTTCGGTTCTGCTTTGTAGGCCACCAACAGTGTGAGCTATGCAACTTACTTGGTCGCTTTCCAGCGAGCTGCATGCATGATCGAGAAAGTAACGGTTGCACTAGAGGGTTGTGACGAGGAGCTCTTGTTTATGAATTAACGTACCCGATCTTCATCAGAATCCAAATGCTGGGCAACAGAGCGCTGCTCGGCTTGGGAGTGGCCATTTGTAGTTTCATTAGTTCTTTTTGTTAGTTTATGTTGACCCCGTTGTTAATTCGGCGCAATCATCAAACCATTGTAGAGCTGAGAAGTGGCACAGGTGAGCCACCGCATCTACAGGAACATGAAGGTCTTCAGGAGGTGACCTGTATCGGCTTCGCAAGTACCATTTGGCGCTCCAATTGCGCAAATTATTTGCGTGCATTCGAGAATGCTGCACTTTAGAGTAGCAAATGGCAACTTTCTCAAAAAAAAAGAATATCATAGTCACTTCTTCCATCATGCATGCAGCCCACTACGAGAGAAAAAACATCTGAAACGCGCTTGCTTTTGATGCATTTAAGCGAATTTTCCCTTTCCTTTCAGTTGCACCTACCGCCCAAAGGATCCAAGCTGTGTTGATGTGTGTCCGGTCGAAGCAGCTTGCGTCGCACCAGATGGACCCCCTACCGATGGCACGTTTTAATTGCACTTGCACAATTGCTCTTCAAGAAAGAGCGCTATTTGGATATCTTTTAGGCACCCCGGTAGTCGTAAGGTAGGAGCCTTGGCTACCAATGTACTTTGCTGCTTGGCACAACGTCCATGCTTTCTGAGGTGGTGCAGATGATAGGCGCGCCAGTAAGGAAGGCACAATGGTAGGCACGGTTCCACCCAAACCGAGGAGCGTGGAATGTGCCTTGAAACCCATCGAACGTTCGGAAATATAGCAATTAGAGCACATTCGTGCATCCTCTGTTGCTTTTGGGTTTGACCTTAGTTTGATTTTCTTGAAGCTAACACTGGAAATATTGTCAACGCGGGCACGTCCTTGGGTTGGAGGATCCGGCAGAGGGGGTGTCGTGTTGTTGCTGGACATGAGAGGGACAGGGTCTGAGAAGGAAATTTCTGTCGATAGTCGATCGATACTGCTTCTCGGTGTAGCTATATAATGGTCCTTCGAGTGAATTCCAAGGAAAAATCGTATTTCCCAGAAAATTTTTACAACAGGGTTTGCCTTGATCAGGACACATGATGATGGGCAGCAATATCCCTGCTCATAGGGTCTACACTCAGTTTGCTGGGCTTTTTGAATAATGCTGTCGTGATTTTTCAATATTGGCTCGTCAAACAAATTGGGAAGCAGAAACCCTTCCCAAAGGTTGGCATAGGGCGAAATCTTGGATGGTACGTAGTTCGCTACCTGGGAACGCTGGAGCTGACGGTTTGGATAATGAACCCTAGCTAATTTCACCTTTCATGGTGGAAGGCTTATGTTTTAATTGGAAGTTACGAAGATAGGAAGGGTGGTTATGTATGGGTAAGTTCCCTATCCCATACATTTCCTAGTTCCGTAGTTCTTCCACAATCCTAGATTCCAAAATGGCAGACAAGAAAAGAAGATTCCAAAGTCAAACAGCCTTTTTCAGACAAACAGACTCATTGGACCCTTTGCTTACGTTGACCGCTTAGGCGAATCCAAGCCTACAATTCTGCGCTCCTTTCTTAGGGATGAAGAAAGCCAAGTGCTGAGACTGACTTCACCCATGCGATCATCATTAAAATCCCTTTGGGACAAATTAAGGCTGCGATGTAGTCTGAATGTGCTATTCTTTGATCCCAGGAGATTCCGAATCCCAGGAAAAAAGGGAGATTCCGAGTCCCAGGAAAATGATAAGCATGCACTTCTTTGCAGAAACAACTGGTTCCTCCAACAACACAACATGTCCTGCCAATGAGGAATACAACACGTGTGGCTCGGCATGCGAACCATCATGTCGGAATCCAAATCCGGTAGGCCACGCTTTTCTTTATATTCACTCGAAATCTTCACCTACGATAGCCAAGAAATGATTTAGAGAGTCTGTACCCTCCAGTGTGTCATCGGATGTCAATGCAAGAAAGGATTCTACCGTAATGATGAGAATGTCTGTGTGGCTAGCTGCTTCTGGTGAGTTACTACCGCTAATGTTTGGTTTAGCCCTTCTAGGAGATTTTGAGTGGAAAGAGTTGCAAAAATGCTCGAATTTGATAGGACCAGGTGGCTGTGGTGTGAACGAGGAACGGAAATCATGCGGCACCGCTTGTGAACCGACTTGCTCACAGCCTAATCCCATCCGTTTGTTTTTTGCACATTTAGTTACACTAGCATTTCTTAAGTTCTCAGAATTACTAATATCTACCGAGAAGGCTTCACTAACTATTCAGTTGAATATTCAGTGCACCAGACAATGCGTCTCAAACGTTTGCCAATGTAGAAGGCTCTACATTCGTGACTCGAATAATGCCTGTGTTCACGTGGCCGCTTGCCCTACAGGTTTGTTACCAAAGGTGTGGAGGCACTCTTGGAAGAGTTTCAAGGGTTTCCTACATGACAACTGCATGTATACATCCATTAGGAGTTGCATATCCTTCCCAAGGTAACGTTTCAGAACCAGTCAAACCGTGCTCGGAGCTGAATTGCCCGAGAGGAACTCGTTGTGAGTTGGGCCGAATTATCTGCCCATTTGTGCCGCCATGCTTCACTCAACAAACTCGATGTGTGCCTACTAATTCTCCTCCAGCACCACCACCGGCCGGCCAAGGTCCACGACCAGCACTACCACCAACCGGCCAAGGTCTACGACCAACACCGCCAGCAACCAATACAGGTCCCAGACGATTTTGGCACATTATCAAACCCTTTTGGTTCCAAGTCCCATGCACTGCACCCTAATATTTCAGGACCTAATCTGCCGTTGTGTTCCTCCATTAATTGTCCCACAATCCTAGGCACAAGATGCCTGATTCCTTGTCGGCCAGATGACTCCACTGCATCACCGCCACCTGATACTGGAGGTCCACAATAAAATTTAACATTGCACCAACACCATGATATTTTTATACTTTTTGTTCACGTTTTCAGTTCCAAACGGAATAACATGCGCCAACGTCAGATGTCCTGGCGGTTACTGTATGCCGACAGGACACCATCAACTGTGTTCGAGCTCCTTGTCCTCAACCTAGGCCGAGATGCGTCCCAACGGGTTCGCCTTTTCTGTTGTCTTACTGTTCAGTGAACGTTTTGTTTACCTTTGTTATAGTGCTTCTGTCTTGCGTAACGAATGGCAGGATGATTTGGCCTATATTAGAACTCTGGGTAAAGAGGTCAGACTTCTTGCATGACAATGCGGGCGATGTGACTTACTTTGAGCATCTCCAGCTAACTCTTACCATTCTTCGAGTTTTTTTATGA